TGATCATGTTAAACTAGAAGACTTGAAATAAAATAATATAGAGAAAGTAAATAATATAATTTATGTAGTATGTTTGCATATACATGTTGACCGATGGAGCGCACTCCTTTATGATACTGATTGGGGACGCAATGTACCCGTGCGCGTAAATGAAAAAGGTTATGAAAAAGGAAAAGGAAATAAAAAGCACCTTCATTGGTACTAAGTTAGACGGTGGCTCATGTACCGGTTATATTATTTATGAGAAAGAATAGAGATATAAATAAAGATATAGTATTTGCATAATATTAAAAGTCTTCAAATAAAATGAATCTAAATGAAATTACTTATGATATGAATTAAATACTCATTCATATTATTTCAATTGTCTTGAATTACTGTAATTTAGAAACATGTTCTACTCAATCAGCTGTAACTTACTTTTAGTTACTCTAATATTTTTATATATAATTTAATATAATCAAAATGAGTAGAAGATGTGAAAATATGTATTGTAGATGTTGCGCACCGAATGAAAGATATCTAATTCATTTTATATTTTGTTGAAGTTTTAGTGGCTTTTTCAGTGTATTGAAGATAGATTCAGCAAATGAAAATTTAAAACACCGTCTGACCGTCTGTTCTCGCCTCGTTAATTCGAGTCACCGGGCCGAGTCATGACAGAAATAATTTTGAGAAGATTTATTGTCATTAATTTTGGTTGTTGAGAAACGATGACCATTTCCCACCATTTCAACATGAAAACTTTCTTCTTTTCTCAAAAAGAGTATTTTGTCGCAAATAATTCAAAAAGAGGACATTTATAAAAGTCATAGTCACTTCAAGGGATAATTTGTATATTAGCAAATGAGCATCAACACAATTAGAAGATATCATTGTAAGCATTCTAGGGAGGATAATCTAGTGGTCTCTTAGAGGTCAGTGATCGTTGCCAGCAAATTCTGTACTTTTGTGCAGCCCTTTACAAATTATAGAGAAGTCCAGCCCAATTCACCCTCAACCAACTAGGAGCTTTTGTCCATCTAAATTAGATGATTTTAGTGTCCATGATTTTTGCCAACAATTCATTTTATATAATATACATATTATGAACCAAGAAAGTAAATGCGTGGCAAAGAATGGGTGATAATCCAATTTGGATGCTATCATAATTATGCGATTGTACTTTTAACTTATTAACTTTTTTCTTTATTCATTTAAAATATATAGAGTACTGACAATCAAGCTCATAACAGGAAAAGAAAAGAATATCTCCTAGTATCTTTCATAATATGATTACTGATCATATCCAAAATCTCTTCAAGATTATGATAAAATGGTTAATTAATTGGCATATGATGACTATTTATTGTATACCTGACAACTGCATTATTAATATTTATGAACCTAGTGTTGCATATCGCCACATGTTGACAACCATGATTTTGTGAGGCCATTTTATAATGTGTCATTTTTAAGCGAGTGTAATATAGTGTTCGAATCCAACATGAAAATTGTTAGGTTGGAGAATTCATTGAATCAATTCCAATTCCCCTTCGAGTTGGGTAAGTATAAAATATTATTTTATTGTCCTAATATATTTTAATATTCCTTTGGTAAGTTATTTATTATAATCTTTTATGATTATAAGATATATTATTATAATTTTCTCAATTTTGCTTTTGTCAATATTTCCTGGTGTTGTGTTGAGGCATTTGTTAATGCATCGTTAACTCTACAATTTTAATTTATTAAGTGCAAAATATTGGAAAGGACATTGTTTTCTTATTGCATACTAGTTGCATCCCTGTAAGATCTTGATACTATATCACTTTCTTTCTCACCTTAGAATGCAATTTGACATTCAATCACATGGTCAAGTAAACAGAATTGAGTTTATTTATCAATTGTTTCATTTCCTAGGTCAAACATATTTTGCATGATTACAAAAAAAGTTGTTTTAATATTTTATGAGGGAAATAATTCACTAGGCCTCTAACAAGTTGCACTACAAGGATTTGAACCGTGATTTGTTTTATAGGATCATATGTCACCAATTTATCTCACTTTGCTCGTTGCTTCCATGATATTATTTTCCTTACTTGATAAATTCAAAAAAAAAATTGTGATCTCCTATTCTATTGTCCTCATTTTATTCAATTTCATATCATCTTCTAATATCAATTTTGTTTAGATCTATATTATCTTAAATGATAATGGAGCTGATGTTACAAATCATTGTGTTCCTGTAGGTTATTATAAAAAATTTCATCATCCAGCCTCATGTTTATTTATATTTCTACTATATCATTAAATGCTTATATACTCTTACCTTTTTTATTTTTAAATTATGAAGGATATACATTGCTTTTAGAAAAATGTATAAGACTAAGTGGCCCTATTGGTTTAAGCTTGAGACATATTTATAAAATGTCAAGCATTATGATTTAAGTGAAGAAATTGAATCCCAACAAGAAAACACAGAAAAAGAATACCTCTGTAAATATTCAAACATTAAGAAGTAAACTAAGTAAAAACTTGATAGATCAAATAATAAGTCCTTAAATTTCGATAAGGCTCAAAAGCTTATATAGTGATATTAACGTTATGATTCATCTTCGTGTCATTATTCAATGAATAATAATGATTTGAAATTTGTTAGTAACAAGACATCCAGTTAAATTGATTTCTTATTTTAATCTTTACAATGATTCGATTTTGGACAGTTTTAACTATTTTGAGTAATCTGTACTTTACTATTTTATGTTCTCCTACTTACATCAAAATATTTTTTTTTAATTTTTTGTTGAATATTATTATTTTTTTTGCTGCAACTCAATAGCGTATTTCTCATTTGTATTAAATTATAATTTTATCTTTATTTAGAATTATCTATCATAATAAATGAATGGACTTTTCTCACTTTACCTAAAAAATAAGTCTTGTACATTGGTGCATCATAAAAATAGTTATAAAATGTAAAAAAAAAAACTTAAAACTTCTTTCTCTATATTATAAATAAGGCATCATAGAGAAAGCAAATGATCGTGTTTGTCATTTCTTATATAACAGAAGAAAAAAATACATTATTTTCTCAATATCTATCTTTTATACACTGCAAAGGTTAATTAAGACTTATAATCCTTTTTTTGCTATGATAAATAATGCATTCTTTTTACAAAGTCATCTTAGTATTTTGTGATGCAATCAGCCTAATATATGAATCAATTTTAATATTTTTCTATTAGTATATAGGAATTCACCATATTTGTGTAAATATTAAAAAAACACAAGAAACCAAGAAGCAAACAAGCAAGCATAACACTTATGCAAATCATGAATAAGATTTTTAAAAGAGTCAATATAATCATTTGTAAGCTACAAAACTTTCGGTATTAACGTGATTTTTAAACATTATTTGATTTTTCATCTTTAACATTTTCTCTTATAAGAACTTCTATTGATAATATCTCATTTGCGTTTAAAAGTTGATCATATAAATGAGATGCACCGAGAGAAGTTATTAGAAGAGAAAAAATTCCATAAAAAAGGCCAAATAATGTTAAACAATAAAACATGAATACCGTAAGTTTTATGAAGTTACAAATAATTCTATTAACTCTTCTAAAAAAACTTATGCATAATTTGCATAAAAATATTGCATTTGCTTGCAGGTTTCTTATAGCTTTTAAGCATTGACAAAAAAATAAAGTGGTGAATTATTATATTCTCAAAGAATAATATTGAAATGGATACATGTATTAGACTAATTGCATTAAAATATACTAAGATAACATCATAAAAAATACATTATTTATTATAAACTGAAAAAAAGAAAGATTGGAAATCCCAACTAAACTTTGGAGTCTACAAAACACAGAAACATTGGGAGAACAATATGCTTCATTCTTCTGTTGAATAGGAAGTGACAACCCTCCACTTTCTCTGTGATGCCTTTTTTATATCATAAAGAATAGACTTTTTATGTAATCTTCTCCAACTTTTCTAACTATTTTTATAATGCATCAATGCACAAGATTTATTTTTTGAATAAAATAAAGATAAAATTTATTCTTTTAATTACAAATCAAGATAAAATTACAACTCAACACAAATAGAAAATAAGTTCTTTAGTAGTAGAAAAAAATTAAAAATGCTCAACCAAGAAATAAATAAAGATTTTAATACACGTATAAGAATATGAAATAACAAAATACACTGGACTCAAAAGGGCAAAATAGTTCAAAAATAAATCATTTAGATATCAAAACAAATGAGCCTCTATCACTGGATGTCTTGTTATGAACAGAGTTCAAACCATCATCATTAATTGAACAATGGTATGAAGGTGAAACATGACACGAATATTACTTATAAGCTCTTGAGCCTGATCAAAATAGAATAATTTATTCTTTGCATTGTCAAGTCATCCACTGAGTTTCATCCTTATTATTTGAATCTCTATAAATGCCTTCTTTTTAGTATTTTTTTAATTGTGATTCAATTCTATCACTCAAATTATGACGTTGAACATTTTATAAATTTGACTCAATCTTGAATCTATGGGACCGCAGCTTTATCTATTTTTCGGAGAGTAATAGTTATCCTACATAATTTAAGAATAAAAAAGTAAGTACATAGCATTTGAGGATATAAATACAAATGAACATGAGGCTGGATAATAAAACCTTTTACAAGGGCTATAGAAACATAATTATTTGCAACATCAGCTCCATTATCATTTAAGACCAGCACAAATCTAAACAAGATTAATATTATAAGATAATAATATGGATAATATGAAATTGAATAAAATAAGAACATGAAAGTGAGGTAATGAAGTTAATTTACATGACTTTCAAACTGCTCCTTTTAAATTAGAGAAGAATCTAGCAATCTCAAGTACTTTGTGAAAATAATGCTCTATTAACTAAAAGAGATAAAAAAGGCTATAAATAAACACTCTCAACACTAAAAAACCACAATTTACAACTCACCAAACATAAAAATATTGAGCTTACCGAGCTGATTGTACAAATATACATAGAGATATGAAAGCATCCAAACGAACCATCCCCATCTTATTTTGATCAAAGCTCTAGAAACGACCAAACAAAACAACCATCAGGGCTTTATAAATCAAATTTATTTCACAAGGCAGTATTTGGCATTACTGGCATAGCTGTGAACACCTTGGCTATGAAACTAGAAATACATTCTGAAAGAACAAAAAACTGACAATGTTTGTAGTCATAATAAATAAAAATATCATAAAGAATTCACAGTTTATACGAATAGAAAAGGAACTTCCAGGCACAGGTCACATGCAGTTTCAGATCGCAGTATGCAATCATTGTAGCTTTCTGTACAGCATATTGTGTAAAATTGATGAAAACTATGCAGCCCACTGCCCACCTTAGCATATTTGTTGCGAGCTTAGGCTCCAACCAAGAGATTTGGAATTCGAAGTTTGCATATGCAGTGTGTGAGTTTACGATTTAATTCTTTCAAAGTCCCAAAAAAAACAATCACATAATTTTTGCGTAACCATTTTAGAACTGTCCATCAAAATTTTAGGCAATTCCCCAAAAGGAATAACGAATTACATAATTCCTCAGTCTTCCTCAAGCTGCAAATAGGAGAGCCAATTAACTAGTTAAACAGGACCACTTCCTGCACCCAAATAATCAAGTCAAGGCTACCATCAGGGTGACAGTCCCCAAGAAGTCACTCTGCTGCTCAAATCAGCTCTTTTAGGTTGAACAAGTCTTAGTTCTAAAGAGAATTTGTATGAAATAGCCACCCCTTAGGACCTTAAAATTTCAAAATAAAATGAATAGTTGGATCCTAATGAGATGGAGAAGCCCATTTATAGGTCAAGGTCAAATGTAATTTGAAGATACAATAACAACAACAACAACAACAACAACAACATCAAGCCTTTATCCCATTATGTGGGGTCGGCTACATGAATCATTTTTCTCCATTGTGTCCTATTAAAGGTCAAATTCTCGTTTAAATCTAATAAAGAAAGGTCATTCCTAATATTTTCTAACCAGGTCTTTTTAGGTCTGACTCTACCTCTCTTAACATAAGTCAAATCTAATACCTCTACACTTCTAACCGGCTAATTGGAAGTCATACAACGCGTCGCTTCCAGAGGACACCCTAGCATTAACACAATTTCTTAAATGATTCATGTCATTATTATTCGACAAGTTTTACGCTGGTTGTAGACTACCTAACGCAACCCTTCACTTTTCTCATCCAGGACTTGGGATCTGGCAACAGCAGTGTTTCAAATGTAATTTGAAGATATTAGGAAAAAAAAGTGATAGAAGAAAACTAGAATATACCTCCAATCCATCAACCCATCAACATGGAGCATGCAACAAAGTCACATGACTCGATTGTTCTTAAGCCTATAAGCAAATGGATTAGTATCATGCTAGCTCCATGATTTCTGTTGGAGTTGATGGTCATGATTAGGCTCCAGGATCCATGCCATTATCACACTTTAATGATCATAACATGATCACACTTTGAAAATCATGCCATGATCACACATCTATGACCAGTTATCAACATTATGGGATGAGTGCCACAATGGTGGACTTCGATTTTCATGCCAACATTTGTTCTATGACGTTCATACCTCATAGTGTAATGATCCTAAATTCATGAAGGCATATCATGACTAATTGAGAATTCATAGCAAAATTAATAAAGCTTGATTATCAATTTGCTCAAAATATATTAAGCTTGGTAATAGTTAATAGATTCTTAAAAACAATTAAGAGGTGTCACGAAAAACAAATAATGCAATGGAGGCAATGAGAAGGCCAATAAGATAACAAGCTAGGGCTTCATGCGAGAGATGGGGCACAAGCGAGAAAACAAGAGAGAGCGAGTTTGAGCCAAAGAAACAACGAACTTCGATTAGAGCTCGAGCAAGCAGCTCTAGGAGTGATAAAATGAGAGAGAGGAGTCACGGGCGATTTCTAGGGTTGATCAAAGAGAAAAATGAGAGAGATGACCTTTAACAAATGCACGATGAGAGATGGTCTTTAACAAATGCACGCTAAGCATTGTTGAAGAAAAGAGATGGCAAAATAACTTCCTTCTCTCCACCCAAAAAAGGTAAATTTTAAACCCCAAGTTAATCCTTGTTAATGTTCTGAGCCAAATTGGCCCTAAGTTGAGGTTTAACAAATACATGCAAGCTGAAAGTATTAGGTTGCAATGTTTTTATAAGAAAAATTTTCTGTAATTTCAATAGGTTTATGCCACACATTTAGCAATTTATTTTTCTTATAGAGAATAAGCAAGGATACTATTGTTGTTGTTGTTGCTGCTGCATGGAGAATAAATAAGGATGACTTGATGTTGAGGTTGATAAGCCAGCTCACCTAATGGCGTTAATGTGGTTAATTATATTTCTATTTAAGAGTGATGTTTCCTTCCACTAGACCTATTGCAATAGAGTGCACTTATTAATTCAATTTTTCTACTATAATATGTTCATTATGCAAAAGTTATGCTATGAATTTACCATGATTCTTTAATAAAATTCTTAGTATTGGCATGAGTAGCGTACATGTAGCAGCACTATTTTAGAGTTTTCATAAAATGCTATGATTATTCTTCAGTTAATGCATGACTTTTAAATGAAACGTAAAAACTATGATTATGCTTCCAAATTTATTCTATAGTTTATCCTTGTTTCAAAATGTTATGCTACTGCTATGGCCATATATCTAATATTTTATGCTTTTTAAATTGTGCAGGGAAATTTTGGGATCCAATTTTTATCCATATTATTTATTTGATTAAGGTTTGACCATACTCCCTACTCTTTGCATGTGCACCATGGACATGATAATAAGCAAGCAGTTTGCCCATTTCATTATAGTCACCGACGAAACAATAATATGGGTCTTCAATTTGACCATATTTGATCCATTGCTCTTACTAATTGATGTAAGCAAGGGGGTCAAATCAAATCCTAAATTTTGGTTTTGACTACATTAATACTTTGAGCTGAAATTTAGCCCATTATGAGCTGTTTTTTAGTTCATTTACTGAAGTAAAAAAGTTTAGGTCATTTATGTAAGTTTAGTGGAAGCTCATTACGGTGGATCTTGGCCCTTTCTCTTCCACATATTTTCTCTCGGTTTCCTCCTTGTCTCCTCGGTTTCTCTTGGCTACCTGCTTGGATCTCGTGGATGGTTGTTTGGTTCCCGTGGCTGGCTGCTTGGCTCCCGTGGATGGTTGTTTTGTTCCCGTGGCTTGGCACTTTGGTTCCTGTGGCTGACTGCTTGGTTCCCGTGGATGGCTGCTTGGTTCCCGTGGCTGGCCCTTTGGTTCCCATGGCTGGCTGCTTGGTTCCCGTGGCTTCTCTTCTTTGTTTCCTGTACCGAATGTGGGCTGCTGTTTGGTGGCTGTTGGGTGGGGATTTCGGTGGCTACCTCTTGGTTTTCTGTGCAGTTTTCTGCTGTAGTTTTTGGGCTATCTTTTAGCCTTCTTCTTGCTGTCTTTTGGCCTTCCATTTGGTGACTTTTGGCCTTCTATATTTAATAGTTTTAGGTGGCTGTTTGGCTGCCCTCTTCTTCTATAAATAGGAGGTGTTATGGGATGTAAAAAGAGAATTGCTTATGATGATGATTTTTGGATAAAAACCTGAGAGGTTTTTTTGGAAAAGCTTGAGAGCTTTGTCCACTTCTTCTTCTTCTCTATCTTGGGATAACTTGTGAGTTACTCGTCTCCTTCGTCTTGGCTTCTAATCTAATTCTTCTTCCCGCAAGTATCCACCTCACTTGTATCCTTCTTCTCAACGATTGGCAAGTTCCTTTAGGTTTGTTGTGCCCAAGTTTTGTAAGGTGTTTGTGTCCAAATTTGTAAGGTGTTAGTGTTCAAGAGTTGTAAGTGTCTTTATATGATATAAAAGGTGTCTTTTAGTATTTTGTGTATCTTATATTATCTAGGAAGAGTCAATTTTGTTAGCAAAAATTTGGGGTCCTCTCCCAAATTTTTGCTTACATCAATTAAATTGATGCAAGCAAAATATCCATTTTGTTTTGACTTTTGAACCCCCCCCCCCTGCATGCATCAGATACTCCCCTACTTGAAAACCTCATCTCCTGATGAGTTGTCTTTTGATTTGATCCGAGGAGACGGTGGAAGTACATCTAACTCTTGAATCTTTGCCGCATACTTCTTCAGAATTTCTTCTTGTTCTTGTATAAACTGAGCTTGCAACAGTTGCTTCTTTTTCATGTACTTCTCCGTACACATGCATCTTCAATTGAAGTTTGTATAATTCATTCTGAAGTGGATTAGTTGAACTCCCTTCTGACGGCATCCATCTGTCCATTGGACTTTGAATTTCAGAATCTTCTGGGTTGCATTCTTCCACTGGATCACTATTTTTGTTTTTTTTTCATTTTTCTAAAAAAAACTCAACTTAAATAACTTGATAACAAGACTCACACACAACCATCATGACACCAAGATACACACAACTTGCTCTGATACCAAATTGATGCAAGCAAAATATCCATTTTGTTTTGACCCTCCCCCCCCCCCTAAGAAGAAAATATCCATTTTTTTTTGCCCCCCCCCCCCCCCCCCCCTTGCATGCATCACTAATTCTAGATTTTCAATCTACGATAGACCAACTGATGATAAAATGGATAAAATTTTGCATGAAAAACAAGTAAATTTTTTTAGAACCTTCTCGATATTTGGGCCTTTATACATTCACATAAAGATGTTTCAATCTTTCAATTAATAGGTCTCTTGCCCTTTCTTCCACTTTCTCCTCACACTCTTCTCCATCCTTAAGATTCATCGCCATAATTTGAAGCTTTTGCATCAACAATTTATATAAATTATTTCAAACTGAATCTTCACTTTTCTAAGACTTTTGATGCTTGTTTTACAAAACCTCCTTGCACAATGGTGCTAGTTTGTGAGGCGAATGCTTTGCCATGATTGAAGAGTGTGCGTTAATACTTCAAATGCAAAAAATGAGTGATGCGTCCATGCTACGTGACTAACTTTCCGTTAACATATTGATAGTGTTAGCAATGCATAGGA